GTACATCATCACCTTTGTTTTACCTTTGCCCTGGCACCACTGAATCACCTTTATTTCACCTTTTTAATTCAACTTACTGATCCACAAAAATACAGGACGAGATTGTCACAATCCTACGTCTATGACGATTGCTGTGACAGCTTGGCCGCTCGCATTTGGGCTACCATTGAGGCGACGAAGAACTTCCATCTGGCAAGTACGACAGCATGCTTGCATCAAAGATATGTGAAGATGTGGAGTTGTGCCTCTCTGCCGGCCCCACTCATGGCCACCTCATTTTGCAGATTGCATGTCAACGAACCTCAGTGCCCCCAGAACCATCTGCACTGCCGAGCTCAGCTGTCCACCGTCTTTATTGCAACCGTCCGTTGGCTGCGGAGTTCCACTGCCTGCATGCCCCAAACTGTGCACAAATGCCGTTGTCTGCGCCATGAGAAGCATCGTAGAACTCCTCCCGCCTTGCAAACCGTGCCAAAGGTTCCCTTGCCCAGAACGCACCTGTAGCTTCGGGGTGGTCTCAGACTCACAAGTGGCCCAGGCTTGGGAAGTCTGTGCCAGCAGACTGCACGCGGTAGCGCGGTCCCGGAGGCCATGAGTCTTCAGGCCGATGTCGGATGACCTTGCAGCTGACGAGAACCCCTGCTTCTGCTTCTGCGAGGGAGACAAGAGCCAGGCCGGTGCAGGCTCGCACCTTTGGAAGGGTCCGGTGCCATCCATGGGATGAAGCCTTGCTAGGCTCCGAGCCGAAAGCTCTTTGAACCCCTGAAGGTTCTGACACTTAGAACGCATCGGCGATCTCTGGGGCTGCGGCCGTGGAGCGAGGCTCGTGCCGAGCCTTTCGAAATCAACTTTCTCGTGGACACACAACAACTTCTCAGCAGTCGAGCGCTGCACGGTGGGGGATGCAGAAGAGGCCGGCGTGGAACATGGAAGTAGTCGTGCAGGGCATCTTCAGGAGGATCCTGGGAAATCTTCCCTTCGGAACTGGCCCATCGAGCACGTACCTCAGATCCTGGCCAGCCGTCTCCGTTTGGGGTCACCATCCATACCTGCGACTTGCAAGCCCGTCTGCGTAGATCGTGCGAAACCCGTACTTTTGCGTGCCTCAAGCATGCAGATGGCACGTCATCTGCTTTTGCGACCCGCTGCAGCGTCATTGGCTTGCATTGCTTCTCCAGCTGGGGAGCACAGCATGTATCCAGGCAACCCGAGCCACGCTTGTGCAATCGTTTGCTCAGAGCTGGAAAAAGCACTAGTGTGACCGAGAACCACCTTCCTTCCTGACCATGTGATGGATGGATCTTTTCAATATCGCTGAACTTGCAGTTTTATTGACCAAGTGCCTGCAAGATGAAAGACAAACAAGCTGCCCAGCCATTCTGGATGCACAGGAAACTGCCCCGAGCCCCTACAAAGAAGATAGCATCAACAGGCTAGCCCGGCAATGCTTTACAACTGACACTCTTTTCTTCGCGTTCTGCTTGGCTCAGATTTGCGAGAGGCTGCCACTTGAAAATTCCGGCGATCGCGGGAAGGCTCTCCTGCCTTTAGGCGGAGCTGCTTTCCGGTCGGTTTTCACTTGATGACCTCAAAAGACTCGTCGAAGCTGACATGAAGAGTCTTGGAAGCTGAGGAGCCTCTGCGGGGTCATCCACCAGGTCCAGGGAAGGTCCGTGCAAGCGATGCCATGTGCATAGCGGTCTGTGCCCAGGCCTGCGAGGACTGCGCTCGCAGACTGCGAGCCTTAACAGTGTTAACAGCGGCGACTGGACAAAGCCCAAAGACCTTGGGTGTCACACATGTCACATCACCTGGATCAGTTTTCATATGTATCAGCGGGGCTTGTTATTTGCTACTCGGCCGGGTCGATCAGCCCGTAAACATGGTACAAATGGCTGTTTGAAACAAGGACAAGTCAGTCACAGCGAGCAGTTGCCACTCAGATCCGCTTTTGTCTTGCCACTCCTTTGAACAAGCAAGAGCGTAGCAAGAGCGTGCTGGCACAAAGTGTTTCGCGCCCAAGAAAGCTGAATGCAGCAGCAACGGGCATGCTGAACTGCTGAACCCTCATCTTCCGCACAGCAAGAAGCAAGACCTGGCAGGCGAGCAACTACAGATCCGCCTTCGCAGGATTGTTCGGTCCATGGGATCGCTCACTGGCTTGCTCCTGTGCTGACCCGGTCAGGATCGAGAAGTAAGCAGCCGACACACTAGAGAAGCACATCACACAGATTTTTTGTAACCGAAGCATCAGTTGTCAGTGCTTTGTCTCTGGCTCAGGAGACCGAGGCCTTGTCGTCAAGTGACGTGCTTCTCTGCCTGGCTTGACCAGAGAACCTTCTTAATGCACTCCTTCGTGGGGCAACGCGAGAGATCTGCATCCGATCTGCTCTCTGCCTGTGCTTCTCCTGTCTTCCGCCATATCCGCCATCACTCCATCGCTTGACCAGCTCTCGCTACTCACGCTACTCTCGCTTTTGGGTCAGGACCTCGTACGGCTTCTCCCAAATTTCATGCCGAGAGGCTTGGTGAACATTGGTAGGCCAACCTTGGTAAGTTGATTGGTAAGCCCATGTAGTAGCCCTGTTGCAACCCTGCAATTCTGTCCAGCATTGCAAGCAAGCCGCGCCAAAGCAAAGAATGACCAGGGCCCATGGCTGGGGTTCCGCCCACTCAAGAATGCCACGGAGCCGTGGACCAATGAGTGCCCACCACATGCCCATGCAGCAGCCCCAGGCCACACCACCAATGGTTTGCTGAATGGTGTGGTCTTTGTCCCAAATCCGTGCGGCAGCCATGGTTCCGGAAGGTACGACAGCAACCACGACTGCTTTCTTGAAAGGACAGCCCACGTGTAGCCCGAGGTACAAAGCGAAATATACGGAGATAAAGGTCATGATGGACGTGTGGCTGCTTGGAAAGCCTGGATCCTTGCTGGAATCTCTGCGTGAACCCTCCGGCCGTCTCCAAACAGACGCGGGGAGTGTTCGCATCACGAGCTGCTTCAACCCTTTTGTAACGATATTTGCCACGATTACGCCGAGCGTACACAGGGGAGCGACCTCTCGACGAAGCACTTGCAGAAGGCTCATGGTCAAAATCACCGTCACCGTGATCAGGTTGGATACGACGACCGGAGCACGGTCAGGACGATCAGAGCTCTGATTGGCTCTGCTGACTCCACTCAGACGTCGTTGCAAGGTCCAGGCCACTGGCAGGGACAAATTGCAAGCTGCGGTAAAGCTGCCGGAGTCTAAGTGAAGACTGTAGCTTGGTCGGGCTGGGATTGGCACCACCCCGCAAGCACAGCGGGGCCCAAACGAAAAGATCGGGCGACAAGGGCGGCCCTCCATTTGCAAGAATGAAAATGTGCTGGCCTTTCAGGCCAAGCATTTGGCACTGGGCAGTGATTCCGTGCCGTGATTTGCGTCCAAACGGCCTCGACGAGAAAAAGGCAGCTGCTTCTGGATGGATCTCACAGGCACGATGAAACTCAAGTGCTGCACACGGCTTGACATGTCCTCGTTCTGACACATGAGAATGCCAAGTACGATTGGCCTGAGCGATTGGATTGGTGCTGTGATCAAGCTGTGTAGGACGCTTTGCCTGGCAAGCTTGGAGGACTGCGTGTCTTGGATAGCATTTAGCTCCGTGAGACCACTCATGACCTGAAAACACCATGCAACGACAGTTGGATCGACGTGGATGCTGGTGCGCCGCTCATGTGACAGCTGAGGGCTGCTCTGCATTGCAGGTGCGATCGTACAAATCACTGGACCCTCGGATAAGAACTCCGACAGCCTGAAGGTGCTTCAGACTGTGATCCGACGGCACAATATCCCATCAGCTCTGAGTGCCCTGACGATCACTGCATCAGGCTTATGGTGCCCTGGCTGTCCCAGCTGTGAATCTGCAAGAAATCGAAAACAAGGATGGAGTGAGGCTCCAGCGCAAGGTAATCCTGCAGCCGCTGATGAGCTCGCAAGCTCCAGGCACCGCCATCTTCAATGTTTCGGCACCCGAACCTCACACCGGGCCAGCTGCGAGGCACTTCACGCAAACTTCGTGCGTGTTAAGGGGCTCGTCAACTCTGCCCCCGCGAAAGAAACCAGTTCATCAACCTCGGGAGGCTGCTTCAACATGCCTGTGGCATCCCCCATGATCAGCATGCTACTTTGCTTGTTCGCTTGGTGTGCGTGCGTGCGTGCGTGCGTGCGTGCGTGCGTGCGTGCGTGCGTGCGTGCGTGCGTGCGTGCGTGGGTGGGTGTGTGTGTGTGTGTGCGTGTGTGCAAACTTGCTTGCCAGGGCCGCTAGTACATGTTTGTCCCAGGCGGAAAAAACCGAGCATGGCACCCTTTCACGACGGGGGCCAGAGGATACCTACAGATCCCTGCCCAACGAAGCTCCTTATTAGATACCACGATATGGTGTTAGATATCAGGATATGCGCTGTGCTATGCGCTGTGGTCAGCTTTTTGTACCTGCAATTTGTGATCTATGCCAATGCAAATTAGGCATAAGAGCCACAAGGGAGGTTTCCAGGCTTCTAGGAGAATTGTTGATCGCATCACGAGTAGACGTACCATGTCTCGTCCGTGCTTGCACCTGTCGCTGTCCTGATTCAACCACTGATGACTGTCATGTTTGGATCTCTGTTGCCAATGCTGGCCAACTTTTCTGAACGAGTTGTTTTTGTCTTTTCCCCCGCGCACGTCTCTGTTGCTATCTGGTGGTCTGGGCTTGATCAAGCCTTATACTCCTGCATACCCTGCCGGAATCTGATCCAAACCTAGCAAGGAGCTCGGTCATCGGGGTCTTCGGCACATGGCCGATTTTTTTGAACCAGTTCAGTGTAGCAGGTACAGTAGTGCTTAATGTGCTTTTGCCCTTAGTCTCGCTGCCGGTGCTGTGTGTGTGTGTGTGCACGTGTTTGTTCGACCATCTCTGCCCCTGTGCCCCGTCTCTGAGCCAGTGTCCCCAGCTTAGTACTTTGGTGAGGGATCATCGAGGGAAGAGCTTTGTTCCTGCGAAGTGGGCTGTCTTGTCAAGTGTCCCATTCCAACACAAGCCGGACTGCGCATCCCTCCCCAAATCCCAGGCTCCGATTGCGGGGCCCGGAGCGTTGAACTCTGCACCGGAGCCCCGATGACGCATGCGGAGGGGCAAAGAAGGCGAGAGGGACAGTTTTCGTAGGCCGGAGAGCACCCCAGGTCGACACTCACTCACTCACTCAAGTTGATTTCAACATGCAGGCAGCATTCCACCATGTTATTCATTAAATCCACTTCGGTTCGAATTTCGCTTTCCCGATAGCAATCGCCTAGCTGGCACTGCGCAATTCACATTTTGGAGGCGGCGCGCACCGATCGGACGTAAGCCATACGTGATGTGCAGTGCTTGATGATCCCCACAGGATACGGCTTGAGCTCAGATCGAGGGCCGAGCCACAATCCGAGTGGATCTTGACCCCGCAACTGCGCTTGTGAGCACGTTGATGGAGCTCGCCGCAGTAGACACGATATTTTGCACGAATTCAGTTTGGAACGGGCTCCCGACATGATCGTCTCCAGCTTCGAGAACTATGACAGGTCCGAGTTTACCGGGCAGCACCAAAATCGAAAAAAAACCTACATCCTGCGGGCAGGAGCAAAACAACTGTTGGTAGGATTGCATCTGCATCTAGGACCCGACTGATATAGTAAGTATTGCGAATGCAACGACATGAAAGGGCAGTGCCAGTTCATTTCCAGAATCCCACTATTTACTTGAATTGATGTTGGGCTAAATAGCTTCAACTTGGAACGAGCTAGAAAAACACCGATTCCACAACATCGAGTAGATGCAGCAGCTTTACAAGGCGAGCTGGCACGAAGATTTGGAGCCATTGATTTATTGGCCTAATAGCCGTCCAACATGCCGGACGCAGGTTGCCAAGAATTGAATTTTTCGGACCAACATCCCATCGTTTGAGAGGTACACAGAGACCAAGCTCCTGGCAAAGTATTGATTCCAAGTGGTGTAGACAAGTCCTATTCGGAGCTGGGATTTCTCCAGGCCTCTCCAAGCGGATCATACACGACGAAGCGATACAAAGCTGCACAAAGGCACAGGCCGAGCTCCGGCAACTTAAAGGTTTCCAGGACCGTCCGGTGATTCAGCCTCCACAGGCTTCTGCAAAGCCGCATCCACTCACCGTGTCACCTCGCCTCTCCCTCTTCGTCTTGAGGTAGCCTACACTATGCGCAGATGGCACAGATGCAAGTGCTGCTACCTGCAAGCAGGGGATGACAGCATTCCACCTGAAAACCAAGCATAGGTGGTCCAGTGCCTCCTGCGTGATGCTCTTCAGTGCAGTCATCTTGTCTGGATTGTTCGTGTAGAGTCGAACAGACTTGAGCCTGCATGGTGACCCTTCGGCATTGAACATGGTGCATTCGCCGCAGTGCAAAAACCGTCGCTGAGTCGCAGGCCCGAGGTCTTGCAAAACTCGCAAGGCATCCTCGTAGCTGCGAATGTCCACCTGACAGCTTCACGCAGAATTTTGCAAGGTCACCTCACATCTCAAGTCACTCATGTCCCTCTGAGAAGTCAGCCGGAAGTCCGAGCTTCAAGTTCGCATCCACCGTGTCGTGACCTTGGTCCTGAAGATGGTAAGCACCTCGTTGGCAAGTCTGTGCAGCTGATGCTTCTACCCGACACAAAATAGGTTGCAAGCGAATCTTCGAAAAAAGTCCGATACCACGCCTGAGCCATGCAAAGGCTAGATTGGATCTGGGCTGTGAGACGAAACGTTCTGAGTGGCTTACCCCTCCTGGCCGCGAATGTAAAGCAAAACACCGCAAGCCCTCGGTCTGCCATGAACACTGCTGCGCACTGTCCGCATCTGCAGCTTCAAAGCAAACTCTTCACTTCCGTTTCAACCTGTGACAAACTTGTCAGAAAATCTTGGAAGGAACGATGCTTTGTTCGATTACTCGTCATTTCGCATTTCTGCAACATTCAGTGTGCTCATCGTGACCGCTCAGGGGTTTTCCAAGAGCAAGAACGACCAAGGATTTTTACACAAGTGTGCTGCATGAGTATATGTGATATGGATGCAATCTGCGACAGCACCCTGAGTCAGACATAAATATGGGTGGCTCTCAAAATTATGGTCCCTTTTTGGCTCCTTAACATAATACGGCACCTAATATTGAGGGTACCCAGAAAGGGACCATAATTTTGACAACCACCCATATAGATATGCCGTTTCCAGGTAGTTGTGAGGGTAGTAAAGTTTGGCGACTGTACCTGCAATAAACGTACGCGGCTGGACAGTTGCACATTCATACGTAGCTGATGCTGCAGGTGGCTATGTGCGTTTACATGAATACACATGCATGCTATTTGTATGCAGGGGCTGGGTCGTATCCAGCTTACCTGGGTCTGTACAAATCGTACCCCTCGCGGCCACCAGGAGCTTAGGAAGCAATGCAAAGTTTACAAACCCCTACGCACTGAGCGAAGTACGTCGAAGCCACCACCAAGTATGCAGTGGGCTCAAGACACAGATGGATGTATCACATCGCTTCTGAGATACGAAGACAGCGGCTGCTACTCTCCGGACTTTTCTCCTTCCCTCTTCCCTCCCCTTCTCTCTTCCTTGCCATCGTTCCCTTTCTGCCTGCGTCGCTTTGTTGACCCCGTGTATAGCTTTTGCTCCCTGTGTCTCATCCACACATGCCGATCATCTGGATGCTCGGGCACGCATGCGGTCATGCTGAGTAGCTTGCGAATCATTCATTATCCTCATGAACTTGTGAAGCTGCTGTCCGCAGTCACAGCCTGTGCAAAATCCCCAGAATCAGAACGTTCAGTGACGTTGTAACAACAGAATCTTCTAGCGTGGATGCACTTGAGAATCCGACGTTGCGACCCCAGCACGTCTCCGGTGAAGCATTCAGAATGTACGCGGACAGGCACTCCCTCAGTTCGAAAGAAGCCGTCGACTGGGTGATACTTTTTCATATGCCCACAGCTACGTAGGCACCATGCATCTGCATCACGCACTGTCCCCTTCACTACCTGGGCTCACACGAAGTGACATTGGAAGCCACATGGGCGACTCTCCGAGATCTGCGCAGCAATAATTTCAATCTTCGGATCTGGGGTTGCAAAAGCCTATAGTCGCCAGGACCGAAGCCGAAGGAAGTAGCTTTCGCTTTGCTGGGACACCGACCATCAGCTGACACTCGGCCTGGATGTCATCCACCCACATCTTGCCTCACAGAGAAAGGAACGGCCCACGGAAGACACACTTGCACACGCGGCACACGCCCTCAGCAGCAGACTTTGCGTTTCCAGGACCGGCTTTCCAAGGGCCACTGCCTGCGCCTCGGAGCAAACAGCAAAAGCCTCCTTTGCCCAGGCTGCCAGTGCAATGGCTTGGGTGATGGCAGGTCCATTGTCGCTCAGGCATTCCGACATGGCTGAAACAACTTGTCGAAAACTTGTCAATCTAGCAGTCTCATGCAAACTTTGCCAATACGATCTCGGTCCAGTGAAATAGTGATCTCATTGTCCCTGCCTGGCCGGATTTCTGGCAAAGTGAAGAGCTGCGGCTGCGGCGAAATGCAGCAAAAAGTTCCGTTGCATAGGAGGGCCCCTTGCCATTCAAGCACCTACGAACCCTTTTGTGTAGCACTGAAGCTACTTCATGTCTTCCGTCGCCGGCGACTCCTTGCAATGCAAGACAACATCTGCCAGGTGCAATCAAATGACTCAGTTGAGTTGACTTTGCTACTAAGTTGGAGCGCGTGTTGAGGTGCTTGTCCTGCTTCGGGATCTGTGGCGTCCACGGCTGCGGTGGCGAATCTTCTCTTTTTGGGCACCTGCACGGCGATACGTGTTGTGTTTCGGACAAAGGCCAAAGGTGTCAAAAGGTCAGCCCCGGAGCGCCCATCGGTTCGGCACGAGCACGAGGACCTCCCAAGCTCCAGTCCACACAAGTGTCGTCAAGTTGCTCCTAAACCTCCGGCCTGGCGATCGCGATCTTCTTCGCGAGGCCTTGCAAACGCAAGCTTCTTTCTGGCGCAGCTTTACTATCAACTCTGTCTCAGCGCGACACACTGCGATGGCTGTCGCGGTGTGGTGCAGGATTCAGAGTAACACTTCTGCTTTGGAAGCGATCATAGAAACGATCTGGAAATGGCCCACCAACGGCACGGGGTTCCCGACCACGATCCTCCACCTTGCATTGGTTTGATGCTTATCCCAAAGCTGCACTGCGATCAGCCAGGCAGCATTCAATTGCTCGCTCACTCCTTCCCTCCATCACTCAGTAGTTCACACCCTCCCTCGACCAACCTTGGTGCTAACTTCTTCTCTCTGCTCCTGCGTGTCCTTTGCTACATTTCGCGATTGGACATCACCGTGACAGCTCCGGCGACGCGTCTTGCGCCATGAAGGCATCTGGGATGTGGCACCCAAAACCAGCTAGGGGTGAGGACCCAGGCCTGCGACTTACCCCAATCTTTCCGAACAAGGAAGGGAACCCAACACCTCTCACCCCTCACTTCTCAAAAAGATCTTCCAAGCAAGCGTGACACCTCGGAATCCACTGTAGTCGTCGTCGTGGCAGTAGCAGCGGCAGGAGGAGGAGGAGGAACAGGAGGAGAAGGAGAAAGAGGAGGAGTGGTAGTCCAAAAGCAGGGGTTCGGGAGGAGGTGCAGCCTTAACAAAAACTGCGGACATCCCCCCATTTGCAACCATGGTTCGGAAAGGATTCCCTCGAGAGCGTGAGGTTCTCAATTCTTTTGTAGGGTTTAGGCTTCAGATTTCAGGAAGGGTGCCGTGCTTGTGTCTCCTTTGTGCTTTCTGTTGTTTATTGTTTGCTTCGTTCGTTTATTGTCACGTTTACTTGTGTTGATTTCGCTTTCGCGGCCTTCTGTATGTCTTTCTTGCGTTCCTTGCTTGTGTCCTCATTTGTCCGTGTAGTCCTGATTATATCTTAATTGTTCTCTTTGAATCGTTGTTTGTTGCGTTTGTTTCTGCGGTCTTGCAAGATTGGCCCGGTCGTATTTAGCAATACTCGCCCGGTCAAGGAGGCCGTGGAAAAGTGGGGCGCTGAGTATTCTGCATTGTCCCTGCGGACCGAGGCTTCCACGCGGGCGAGCTTCCCCTCACAGAACTAGGACGCGTGCGTGCAACGGCTGGCAGGCACCTCTTCTCCTTATGTTTCTTGATCTTCTGCTTTTCCGAGTCTCTCCATTCCGCTTTTGCGCTCTTCGGGCCTTTCGTTCCGGAAGGCCGCCCACACGAAGAGGAGGGGCCGCAGGCCTTCAGGCATGAGGCCCGCTAGACGACGCAAGCCCAAACTCACGAGCGAGATTCCTTGGCCGGGCTGGTGGTCGTGACAGGGTGGATGCACCTGGTATCGCATGTCCCAAAATGCATTGCAAGGTCAGCACATGCCTACACGACTCTGTGCGACGTGCCTCTAAGAGGCAGCGTCGGTCGCACACTCGACCAGGCTCCGATCGGCCTTACAACGGATTCTCGGGAGCACGGCCGTCGGCATCCGGGCATGATTCAGACAAGCGAAAACGAAAAACATCGGCATTCCTTGATTAAACCCTGGTGTAGATACGAACGGCTCGCGGAAACTCAAAAGTACACACACACACACATATATATATATATATGTACATGCATACACATACGTACATACATACATACATACATACATACATACATACATACATACATACACACACACATACATACATACATACATACATACGTACATGCGTACATGCGTACATGCATACATACACACACACATACACAGATACACACAGATACACACAAATATACACATATACACATATATACATGTATACATGTATACATGTATGTATGTATGTATGTATGTATGTATGCATGTATGTCTGTATATACTTACATATATATATATACATATATATAATGTGTGTATATATATATAGATAGGGTTTGGGATCGAGCTCCTGTAGCGAGCATGCCTGAACCCCCAGTGCAACATGCACGCTGTGAGCCACCGCACGCTCTCCGGGCAAAGCGTTTCGCTTCACGGAGAAGGGTGCACCTGGCCCCCCGAGACCGAGGCCAGCAGCCACCGTGGAGATCGTTGTGCCTCTTGGTGGAGCACCATTCCGCTCCGTCATACAGCGAGCTGATGGGAGGCAGAGGCAAGACCGAATGAGCTGGTTGGCAAAATGGGCCCTCGGATGCCTGGGACTGGCAGCAGGCTGGAACGTGGCGTGGACACAAGGGTGCTGAGACGTGGAACCAGCAGCCTATACACGCTGCCTCTCGCTGCCAGCAGGAAGAGTCTCCCCAGCCACGAGATAAGTCGCCCAGAGCAAACAACCAGGCAAGCCGAGATGATGGAGGTCGACGACGGTACCGCGCCGGTCACCGGGTGTCTGACTCTCCCCCCTCGACTTTTGATCGAAGGGGGCTCGGCTGGACCCCCCCATGTGAACCCTCGCCAGCCTGGGGGAGAAGGAAGAAAAACGTGCTATCCCCTCAGCAGTGAACTCTCTCTCTACAACCCACAAAAGCAATACCACCTACAAGTACAAGAGTGATCAAGGTGGAGAGTATATTGACGAGTATTACCGCGTCCCAGCTGCTGAGCTGTCAGGCGCTCTTCTGCTAATCTCTGGGTTTACAAGCTGCAAGTATGCTCTTGGAGACCTAAAACTGGAGCTGGCCGATGCTGACACAGCGACCGGGCTAGGAACATTCAGAAGAAGGCAGCCTGCAGTTCAACACCTAGTCCGGCTCTTCACCAAGAGTTGCAAGAATCGGGCTCTCTCACAAGACAAGCAAAGCAAGCTAAGCCCCCGCGGACGTGAACTTTCGGATCGCAAGCGAGAGCTTTGGCACGACCGTGTCTGTAGATGTCTTTGATTTCACGTTCTCGACGCTGCCCGGAGCTTGTGAGTAGGATTCTGACTTTCTTAGTCTCAACCTCGAACATATGAATTTACAATTGGCCCGGTATGCAAGGCCCACACGAGCCATGTTTGCGTCAGAAGACTTGCCAAGCTGAGAATGCGGCCCAGGGCTGGGGAAGGGTGCGGAGCCTGCCTTCAGGAGAAGCATGCTCAGCATGAAGCTGGAACTCGAGCGTTTGGAGTCCGTCTTGCAATTTGGTTAATGGGCTGATGGGCTGGATGCGGCTGGAAAGCCTTCTGCCGAAGGCTTTTGAGTTGAAATGCTGTTGCTCGCGGCCTTGGCCTTGGGTTTTGCTGCTTTGCTGCGGTGTGCTTTGCCTTCGGCTCTGAGGGATCGCTGGTAGGCTGGCGCACTCTGAATGGAGTGCGGAGTGCGGGCAGTGAAATCGAGTCTAGCTTTTCCTGGGCTAGCAGCATTGAGTGGACTTATCAGCAATCTTCGAAGCTACGAACACCTATTGACAGCCTTCGATGCGCTCAGACAACGACTAAACTTGCTGTGGCCCGTCCTGACTTGGGCGTGATGATCTGCGTGAGCCCTTGATCCCACTCCTGACAAACTCGTTTTTTCCTGCCGAATGCTTCCCATGCACTCGTTTGGGTCCCAGAATGCTAAGATTCGGACTTGCCCTTGCCTTTGCCCTTGCCCGCCGCACTCTTGCCCCTGCCCTTTGGGCCCATGGCAGAAGCGATGCGTGCCACTGCGGCAGATGGCGACGCAAGCTTTCCTGTACTGCTCAGGTCATATGTTTTCCTTGGGCCCCCTGGGAAGCATCGCACAACTACAAGCTGCAGATGCTGCCTGTCCTGTACTCAAAGATGACATTCTTCGTGAAGCTCCTTGCTGAGTCAAGATTATCTAAGACGTGCGTGTGAACGAACTCAAAGAAGTATAGTATCTGAGGCATGGCACGCAGAGCTGGGCTGTCAAAGGGATTTGCCTGCGCGCGACAGCCGAGCAGCTCTCAAACAATAGGATCTGGTGTCGTAGCCTCAAGTTCCCGAATGCGCCAGATTTGAGTGAAGGAGCCGGCAACACTTTCCAAGGTGAGGCTTCCACCCTGCAGTGCGATCTGCACAAAACGTAATTAAACATGATATGCGGCGATATGCGGCTTGAAAATGCCGGTTCGATGTTCCATGGGCCTTGGTCATGAGTCCAGTGCTGTAGAGGATGCTCGCCTTCAGGAGCCCAGCAAGACGGCTTCGCCCCCTGGGGGCTGGGGGCCCGACTGTCTTGAAGCCATTCTCGTCTTCTTGAGCACCGCAAAGCAAAGCACCCTGCCAGCTCCAAATGCCACATAGCGAAATCACTCAGTGATGTGCCCCGCCCACCTGCTCTACAGCCCGACCCAGGCCCCGATCTCGCTGGACGCGTCCATCTGCTAGGACTTTTCCTGCAGACGCCTGGCGATCTGAGTGGTTAACGATTCTTGATACGGAATGGCAAGCGTGCCTCGAATCGGGTCGACATCTCAGAGGCAACCCCTTCTTCGCCTTCAACTGAGCACAGCCTGGGCAAGGGCACAGAGTATCGGGGAGAGCAGCGCATGACAGCACATGCAAAAGACCACCGTTCACATCTGTGCTGTCGGTCAATGTAGCTTTCTCCGTAGTCGGAGTCTGTGAGCTGCATAGGACGTGTTGCACGGTACAAGTATGGTATGGTCCGGAAATGCTTGCGATCTCAATGTATTCAACGTTGGTGCTTTGTTTGGGGTTTTGTTGGGTTTGGGTACTGGCTTTGAGGCTTGCCTGTCTGCAGTTGTACTGGGCGCTTGCGGCTGGGGCGGCATCGCTTCGGTGTTTAGGGCTTGAGCGAAGGGTTGAGAGTTGAGGGCCTGCGGCTCACATGTTGACGGGTTTAGGGTTCAGGCTTTAGGGCTGTGGAGGTTTGTAGAGTTTCGTCGTGGGCAGATCAAGGCCCTCCAGAAGCCTCGCGCGACACATCTATTGGCATCGAAGTCTCCTTGAGTATGGAGACAACTGCGAGAATTTGATGCTAAATATCGGGCGCGGAGCGAGCGATGTCAACAGGTAGTAAGATCTGCGACGAGTTCGTCACAAGCATCACGAAACAAGCAAGGAACAAAAGCGGGGAACAGAAATATATTATTTACAAGAAGATTTTCAGACGGACCCGATGCTGAGACATCACACCTGCGACAAGTTCAACACCCGACGAAATCCAAAACGGTACGACGAAGCGGGGCTCTTCCTTTTTGGATGGAAGGAAACGCATCGCGCCGGGTCCGTGCCATTCGCCAGTTCAGGGCTGTACGGCGCCGGGGGACGCATTCTGCCTCCCGGCCAAACGCCCGCCAGTGAGCGACGACCCATACGTCTCAATAGATACAAAATCGCCAAGGGTGGAGAGGGTGGGAGCTGGAAGTCGGAGGGCGTCGCGCAAAGCCGCAGATGCTACGGCATATGCCTCGATCGCCGAACATGTCCCTGCACACACAAGTGTGTTTCACCACACTCTCGAAGATGCCCGACCCCTCTGCCAGTGCACATGAACTTCCAGCACAAGCACGTAAGCTGCAGCAAAACCGTTGTATAATTTTTTGCCCTCCATCCTACATTTAGTAAAAAGGGATCTTTCAATCAGTACTGTATCGAATGTGTGGTCAACTATGGGTTCTGATGTTGGGAGTTTTGCAGGAGTAAAGAGCATAAGGGAAAGTGACGCCGCGGGATGCCCGCGGAAAAGCATCGCCGGGACGGCCGGGACGCGGCTCCCGCTGTGAGGTGATGCATGTTTTGCGCACTCACCGGCCTCCCGGCCTCTGGGAGGGCAGGCTTCGTTGTAAATTCCAACACTTGGGCCCGCTTTTAGCATCGAACACCCTGACTTGCGCCAGTACTTGGGGGACAGCATCTTGGCCGTCCTCATGAATCCCGCCAGTACGTGAGGGAAGCACAAGCGCCGTGCTTCTGAATTCCGCCAGTACTTGAGGAAACCGCCAGTACTTTGGAAAACATTTTGAACATCGTCCTGAATCCACACCAGTATTTGTGGGAAGCATGGTGGGCGCGCATTGAAGGGGATGCACTTTGGTCGTGGTCTCCTGGTGGTACGTGGTCTTCTGGTGGTCGGTCTGGTCGTCGTGGTCGTAAAGGTGGTTGATCACTGTTCGGGGATCTACGCTGGCCTGACCGATGCTTTGCGTGAGGCATACTCGTTCCGGCCCGACCTTTGACTGTGCCTCGAGCTCCAAGGATGCACCCCGACCGAACCGACTCACTCCAGTGCTTCAGAACAGTGGATGGTTCGTTGAAGTGTTTGTTCATATCACTGTCATTGGGGGAGCCATTCTTGCATGCCGACAATGCAATAACTGGCCATGCACGGAGCCATGAAAAGTTCCGGACTGCTCCAGGCTTTGACACAAGGTGCCGCCGATCAAGCCCTGGCCACAGAGAACAAGACGCTCTGCCAGCACCGACCAGTGGAGCACGCTCCTCGCCACGAGGTGGCCCGAGAACCTGCGAACACTGCGAACGGTACCAGACGCGCATGGCTTCTCATGCGGCTTTCCATGCCTGCAAGCAGAAGTCGCCACAGATAATCCAGGCACCTGCCCTCAAACCACTGGAGGGAGGTGCAGAACCAGGACCTCCGGCCTCGCCAAGGGAGCTGCGCACATCTTCACGCTATGGGCACTGTCGGCACCTGTTCTGTCAGCAGCTCCACGGCAGCCACGTGCGAGTCGCTCTGGGATATTCGCCGCCAAACGGTTCCTGACAAGATCAACAGCACCAAGCTTTTCGAAGCTTGTCGTAGGCCACCCTCTTTGCAAGTGTCTTTACATTGGTTCTGGCTTCTCTGGCGTGCTCAAACGAATCTGTTGGCTTCCTACATTCTTGGATGGCACGTGGATTGGAAGATAGTGGGCACCAAACCCTAAAGCCGAAAACTCGGATATACGCAGTTTTGAGGCTGTGCAAGCGCGCGGGGACTATGACGTGGATACGGGAGGCCGCTCGGAGACGGTCTCCCTACGTACCTGCAGAAAAGGATGTGCCCCTGCGGCATCCAGGTTAAGATACCTAGACTACCTACTAGCAGTGCTTTACGTGCGCGCTCACTGGCAAACACGGCAGCATGTTGTAATATCGTTGTAAAACATCTGGCAATGATCTGAACACCGGACCATGTTGACCAGCTTGCACGGTACGACTTGCCGCCGTGTTGTCGGTTCAAGCAGCCGCGTCATTGCACCCACCGGCCAACATTTAGTCACAAGATGTTCCCAGCACCACAACACCTTCAGCGGCATCACTGTTCGCTCCCACAGGTCATGCCTACAATGGCTACTGAATCTGAAGAAGATCGAGCCCATCTTCACACCACCATCACAGGTGTGGCAGACACAGCCGGAACCACCGCAGGGCACGCCGATCACATGATGCACGGGACCGCGCAGGCGACCGAGACCAATGTGACACCACACCGAAACGCAGTTGCTAACCGTCACCGTGACCTTCCCGAACTGACATTGCCGTGCACCCACAGTTCCAAGCTCCACAGGAAAATCACCCAGCACCACGAATCCACTTAACTAGCCATCACTGGCACTCCCACCCCAGTCTCAATATGTTCGGCCAAGCACCAAGACATTTATGTTGTGCTTGTTCATTGCGTGTATAACTCGTCCACGTGTCGATATGGATGACTTCTACAGCCCCCCTTGTCCCAATGCCCAAATTTTGCCGCAGACCGCACAACAGGTGGCACTTGTGGTCGCCACGGTTCAACCGCAGCGGGGGCGGTTTCTTCCATGCCTCCGCCGGGCCGAGCCCTTTCGACCCCTCCGAGTTGCGTTCCTCGTGCCTAGGCCCTTCGTGGAGAACGAATTTTTGGCTCGCATGTCTCTAAAGGATACACGTTGGTGTGGGCTAATGACTAATGTGAGGGAGATCATTTGCATGTCTTTCTAGTTTGGGGGTTGGTCAGAATCAGGTTTGTGCTTACACTGTGAAGGGTTGGGGTCGAGGTTTCATGATCCTGTTGGGTGGGAACAAGTGGGCGGGTGAGCATGGGAAACCCTCGGACGTCCTTCGGGAATGTCTTTCATCTCAGACGAGGAAACCTTGGAGAACAGCGCCGGATGGCGCGACTGACAGATGACGAGACGGGTTTTTTGTTGCGCCAGCAGGTGACCAGCTGCGAAGTGAGGCTGCCCGTATGCAGCGGCGTCGGCTCGGTGTCGACCTGATGCTCGGAGACAGCTCGACAGCTCGACCCCCGCAAAGCCGGCACACCGAGGCATGTGCAGCTATCTTTCGAATAGCAACTGCCTTGCTGCCTTCTTCATGCACCTCGCTGTTGGATCTTCAAGGCGCTCCAGAACTCACTTGACTCGTGACTCTGGGAACAAGTGACTTGGCTACTGCACGCTCTGACGCGGTCCACACAAATTCACTGTGCGACTTCAACCCGAGTGCGTGAGCAACGGGTGTTGCCAAGCCATGCGATGTCGCTTTTGTGTGCAGTCTGCACCCACTTGGCAGTGAAACCAAACTCAGCAAACGGCAATAGAGTTACTAGATACACTTCCTGCACGGCCAGACGCACGGGTCTGATGGCTGCACGGTGCCCCACTGTTCAGAAATGATGACTTTACAAGGTCCGCTTGCTGGACTTGGTTTACGCTTGACGGCCCTGCACAAAGAACTGCTTGTCTGCAAGGACAGGATCTGGCGAGACACCTCCTTGGCATCGTCCTTCGGCTCGAAGGTAGTGCTGTCTTCCTACAGAGCTTCACAACCCATGCCACGACCCATCGACCCGGCCCTGTTGCTGGAAGCAAATGCTGCCCGGCTGCCAAGGCAAAGGAGCCCGCTATCACTCTGAATGGCTCGCCAAAATGCGCCTTGAGGCTGACTCACAGCTCAGGGATTCGACTCGAGTCTCCCAGGGTCACCTCTGCCAGAAGGCCACGACGGCTCACAAAGCGTAGTCTCCTGAGTGCTCGCATCGCACAACTCGCACAGGCAGAGCCACGTCAAGCCGCACTCCTCGACCCGTGGAAAGCCTGTTCCGAGGGCGGGAGGTGACCTTGTCTGTGCCGTTCGGCTTGTGCGCCGAAGCGACTGCCATGTCAAGCGTTTTGAGTAAGTGTTGTTCAAGATGTTGCGGGCTTTTAACTCCAGCATCTGCAGTAGCTCGTGGCGCTTCCACGGGTTTTTAAGACAACGCGAACGTTGTCGACAGCAAACGTGTCTTCATGCCTTGGATGAGAATACCAATCGGCATTTGATGCCGGAAGTGACAACCGAATCGAAGCCCTTGGCAACATGCACTGATGACTGATGCCGTTGTCTAAAGTGAACTCTGCTCAACTTGCCTGAATAAGTTAAGTATGTTGCAGCCATGTGAAGGAACTGTCACTCCTCAGGTTTTATGCTGCAGGCTTCCACGGAACTAACAAATCCCCACGTTTGCCACTTCTGTTTTGGGGAGCAGTGCAGCAGTGCATCGGGAAAGCGGCCCCACCAAAAGGATGATCTGAGAAAATCTGGGAACCGCAAGCAGAAACAAGGACGGATTTTGCTGGCATTTTTGGATACAATGGCTTGGTGAGAAGACTGGACTCTCGTCTGTGCAAGTTGGCACTTTCGCTTTGCTTGAGTTTTCCATGCTGCCAGTGAACGGGTTGAAGATTTGTAAATTTGGTAAGCTACGGGGGAGTGCATGCATACTGTAGCAGACCCATGCTGGACCTGGCAGTTCTGGTACTTTTCGTCCAATAAGCTACTTGACTTACGCCTCCATCCTGCAGGGTTCTGTATTGCTTGTGTCTACTTGAGTTGCTGTTGGGTAATGTCGACTGTGGCTGAAGACCTAGTATGAAATTGAAGAGACAGCCCGGTAACTTCGTCTGTACTGTCACATTACTCGTCTGCGCTGATGCGCAGTTGTTTGCTTTGCCCAAATCGTGTTCTACTCTCCCGGTGCATCTCAGGGGTATGGAAGCCGAGCACACGTTTCCAGAGGCAAGGATGCCTTGCTTGTCCCGACTGAGCTGAGATCTCGACCTTGGCCTGGGTCATCTAAGCCGGCTGAGTCGTCATCAGCACCTGGTTATTGGGCTTTCTTCGCTTCAGCAGGCATGTTGCAAATGCAAGCCTTCATCACCGACGGAATCAGCAGACCATACACCATCCTGCGACAATGGTGAAGCTTGGTCTACATGTTCCCTCTTGTTGATCGGGCGAACCACTGATACGTGGTCAGACCAATCTAGATCCCAGATGATCCTAGGGTCAAACCGAAAACCTCCAAGACAGGAATTGCATGAGGAGAGCATTGTCGTTTCGACAGTCCAGACGTTCAAGCACCTCGCATGCTACGAGGCTGACTCGACAAGCCGGACTGACAGGTTTCGAGGTTTCGGGGTAGAACTGGCACCGTCCCTTCATGTAATTTTTCCTGTGCGGCCAACATCTGTGCGAGTCTTCCATGTCTTCCCTTCCAGAAACCCGTGCGCAAGCGGGCTGATAGTGGGTCGTCAACCGCTGGGCAACCGTGCTGAGCTTGAAGCAAGCCCAAAACAAGAGTGCTCGATGCTAGGTGGGCAGCAGTTAGGTGGCTTGCGAAAGACTCAGTCTGAGTAAGGCAGCTGAGTTCGGACGTCGCAACGCAGGATGCTGTCGGTGCGCAGGCTCCTCTACCCAAATGCCCGCGAACATGGCGAGGTCTTGAGGCCGAGCTTTGGGCTGCGCGATGGCGAGGCTGCTCAGGCCGGCCTTGGCGAGGGCTCCTTTCACGTGTCACCCTGCTCTGCTGTGACTCCTTCACCAAAAAGCGTCGGGCAGCCGCCAAGACCGAGGCCGATGGTCCAGGATACACCTTCGAACGCTTTTTCTGACTGCAGAGCTTCACAAGCCTCCTTGCCTCCGTCACTGGTCGCACGCCATGCCCGTCTCGCACCAGGGCTTCCGCAACAGCAAGCTTGGCCGAAGAGTAACAGATAAGGTACCTTCAGGCACCAACACTCGCTGTGCTCACGTTCTTAACACGTGGATCTTCAGCAGAGTCACAATGCTAGCGGATCGACACAGGCTATCTCCAGCACTTGAAGGTTTGCAGCGAGTAGCTGCTTGCACCTGACCAAATCAGCAAACTCTGAAGGTAAAGCAGCCATTCCGTTGTGTCACATCCCAGAGCTGAGCGGCGGGACACATGGCTGACTTGGACCTTGCTCGGCTGACCCAGAGCGCGCAAAGCACAAAAGACCTGCCCAGCACATGCACTGGAATTACAAAACGGAACAGATACTCTTGGTTCTGCCCATTTCTTGAAGTAAGTGAACAAATTCGAGTCCGAGGATGACTTTTGCGAGGCAGCCAAAAACTAAAGCTTGCAGAATCGGTCAAACGGGTCAATCCAGGTGCGATGTCTTGTTGTTGTCTCTTGGATCCAACTGCTAAGCAACGGCCTTCATGATGCACTCTCCATACCATCAGCCCAGAGTTGTCTCTTCAGTTCTTAAGTGCAAACTTCACATCTCCAATCAATGGACGTCGAAGCTCCGCACTGGCAACCATGCGCTCTACATCAAATGTCTCCGTGAGCAGGACTGCAGGGTTGACGCTTGTTGCCACCATGGCCTGCGAGTCTGAAGCTCCTTAGATTCCGGTCCAATCACCCATTTGGTGTCCCCTGCTTCGTGATCCTACATCGGCTCGCTGCAGCCAAGTGTGTAACAGTAGGCTGAATAAGAACCAGCAGCGTGCGTCTTCTGCACCGGGCTGAAGATGCTCCTGACTGTGCATGAAAACGACCGCTCCCACCCAGGACTTCCAGGACCCTGCCGACCTCAGAGCCAGATGCCTGAAAGCATGCCGTTTAGGACTCTGCCATGCATGCGTCCCTCCTCGGCCTCGTTCTCGGAGCTGGCTGTGCCTGTGGCGAAAGAGGTTTGCCTTCGCACTCCTAAACCCAACAGCTTCGGGGTGCCGTCGGAGCGGTCTGCTCTGTCAGATGGCCTCGTTGGACATGAGGAACGGAGGAGGCAAACGTTGTTCTTGCAAACTGAGGCTTCAACCATGTGCCATCTGATGGCGGGTCGAGCGCGCAGACCTCACTGGAAAGATTTTCCATAACAGACTGCTGAAGTGCCTGTTAGAGGGTTTCATGAATTGATGCTGCTGTAAAGTGCCGCTAGTGTTATTGCACTGTTATTGCAAATCCTGCGCAGTAGACTGCGATTACCAGGACGCTGGTGAGTGTGTGTGGTACAACAAAGGAAGGTTCTCAATGCCATAGAGACCATGAAGAGCATGATAATAGGATTAAACCCAGTGCATGTCCAGGGCAAGCTTGCCTCGTCCGTGTACGTAATCTCCGCAAGCCCTGTGGCATGGCAGCGCAGGGCCTTCGGTGCACGACACTTCTCTCTATTCTGGAGATACCTTCTCCCTGATTACTTTGAGCGGCCCAGTAAATTTGCTTGACACTACGTACGGATTCCATAGGGCGCCGACGGAACTGTCAGCTTGCGCATTTGCTGTGCACGGAAAAGCCGAAACTGGTGTTGTCTGAGAAGCTCGCTGCACCAAGGCGACGCCGGATCTCTCGAGACCTGCCCCGTCAAGTCAGGTCATGTCACACTTCACACTGCAAGCTGAACATCGTACCGTGCGAACATGCCTGAACCTTAACAAACTTTAGCCGCAGCGCAAAGACAGTTTGACCATTAGCCGTGCGCTGCCTTGTTGATGCCCCCATGAGGACTGCTCGCTTGTGCTGGCAGCTTGAGATCTGATAACTGGTGGGCTCGCGCTTGCTTTCTAAGGGCAAATGCCTGGGAGCTCGAGAACTCGATTCAGGTCAAGGAGTGAAGGAGAAGGAAGAAGTGAGGGAAGGCTTTGGTTGCCCGCTCCCTCTCGTATCCTTGTCCTATCCATCACGTGCGATCGCGTGTGGGCGAAGCTTTTTCTAGGCAAAACTCCCGTTCTTAAAAAGAAGCCGCCGGCCTCAGAGCTTTCAAGTGCTCAAACTTGAAGCACAGTAGCCGTGGCCTGCAGCGCATGGCAAAGGCATTAGTCACTGCGCAGACCGCAGACCAGGCTTCCGGCTCGAGCTGGGAATTGCGGCTGCGACGGCCGTCACTTGCAGAGTCGGAAGACGAAGATCGCAGGCTGACCATGACGGCATCCCTACTGTCACGCCTTCGTTTCAGAAAGCTACGATTTCTGGAAGTATGCAGTTCGAGGTGTTCCTATGAGTACACAATTCAATTCGGGCGGATCTGTGGAGCTCTCCGGCTGCATGCCTGTGTCTGCTACTCAGCTCTGCAGCATGAGGTCGATAAATAGCCTGTCAAACTGCGAGAAGCATTTCAGAGGACATGTCAACCTTACATGTACCCCCTTGCTCACGAAAGCCTTTCGTGCAGCCCGCCTTTGCACGAATCTCTGCACGAGTTTAAGTGTTGATTTGCTGCTGCTAAGCATGCCGGGCACTTCTGGATCACTGCCGCTTGGAATAAGTCTGCCGCCTGCTGCTGCACGTCTACAAGAACATGTCGTCCAAGTTGACCCTGAGATGGGCGAGGGTAGAGCTAATACTTCTCCGCGGACATGAACTTGGCGTTGCATGTGATGCCGTAGCTTGGCGGTGCAAAAGCTGCGACCTCCGGACTCCTTAGTCGTCCGTGTAGTCGAAGTCGTATTTCGCGGATTTCAGGCCCTTGGGCCTACAGTCCAATGGACCACCTGCCGCCTCGGAAAGCTCCCGCACGCCACGCGTGAGTTGTTGGAGAAACGCGGGATCCGACGACGCGTAAATCGCCTCGGGCACGGAGCTTTCCGCAGCTAGGAGGCACCTATCCTGGAGCGTACATTCCCGAGGTGCAAAGCGCACCTCCACTGAGGCGCCGAAGGCTGTCGACAAGCGCTTCAGTCGCAGGGATTGCAGATGGTCTTCGAAGAGTTCTGCCCAAGACACTTGCTGGCTGGTGATTGCATTTCCTAGGCTTGCTGATGCACTTCGCCAGGCACTGCACCGACTCATTACTTCAACTGCTCTGACCAAAGCCAACGTCTTGGAGCGTGTCCCTGTCGGATCCGCATACATGGCACAGAACTCTTCCACTCTGGACTCCCTGAAATCGTCCAGGCTCAATTTGTTTGTGCAGCAAGTCGCGATAACGACCCCAAGCAGAGTTGGTGGCTGCGGCTCACTTGCCGGCAATCTGGATGATCGTCGGAGCTGGACAGCCATCTCTATGGACCTATCAACGCCGATCCCACAAGGGTGCTTGGCAAGCAGCACGAATCTGTCCAAGTCGTGTCGGCATGCCAGGCTGGCTAGGGCAGCGGTGTCAAAGTCAGCGATGTCTGCTTCGATGCGAATCACTTTGCCCTTCAGTGCTGTTGGCAGCTGTTCCTCTGCGCGCAACTCCTTTCTTGGGGACTCGCGCTCAACACAGATCACTGTTAACCCAAGCAGCGCGGCAGCTAGGACCGCACAGTTGGCATTGCCAGCTCCGATGTCAAGCACTCCACATCTCTTCGTGTCCCCACCGACGAGACTCCAGACTTTATGCAGGAGTGAGTATTCTTGTGGGAGAAATTTGGCATTGTAGCGTTGCGGCCGAAGAAGGCACGAACCCAGGAGACGCAAGCCTTCGGCAGGGCAAGGCCCATGAACAAGTGGCAGCTCTTGGTAACGGCATCCTGTGGCCCCAAACGCTTCCAGTAGCGCATCACGCGTCGCCCTGTCCGCTCTGTCATGTCCGACGTCTCCCAGATGCTCTTTCAGACATCCATCCAACGCTGCCAGCGCTGCTTCCAAGGCTTCAACCTGTCTGGCAAATTACTGCTAAAGTAGCCAGGCGGTACGGCCTGGCGCGACATGTGACGCAGCCTGCTTCTGAAGCTTTTTTTCGCCCTTCCTCTCTTGCCGTGCATCTCGCAAGACCTGCCAGCTAAGCTCAGCGATGTGGGCACAACTCCTGCTACCTGCTGCTGGCCTGCTTCTTTTGCTGCCGCTTGGACGTCTCTTGTTTCGGCTTGCACGGCCTGAAGCCAAATACTGAAGCTCCCTGCTTATGTGCTGCAGCTCAAACGAAATAAAATGATGAAGGAACATGCAAGCAGACGGTTTGCAATGATTTGAAACGCAAGCCAATTTTACTCTCCCAACAGAGGCCAGCTTGCATACCATCCCTTCCCGGCTTTCATAGGACTCAGCTTACCATGAGCTCATTGTTTCGCTCACAGCTCGCCTAGAGGCCGGCGTCAGCAGCATCATGGGCCCTGTGTTCATCACCCGACTCCCAAATAAAGGGAATCCATTGGGTGTCCGCAATGTCCCGGGCCATCGTGGAATCATCGACCCTGTGTTTCTCCGACGACTCTCCAATGACCTCCCCTTCTCGAAGTCCAGCAAAGGACAACGGCCTGTGTGTCTCAAGCAGTAGAGGACAGTATCAGAATCGGCATAGTCCGCTGACTCTCCAGCGTTATTCATGCGCCGAAAAGAAAGCTGTTGCAAGCTGGGGCCGTTGTCCGGAATTATCAGAGCTGAGGCAAACATCATGTGAGTCATGCTTCCGATTCGATGTCGATACACACTAAGTCACTAAGACTGAGACACAAGAATACGTAGTGTGGGCCGACAACTCCTCCCGCGACAAGCGAAGTCCTGGTCTGTCCTGGCGCTTCCGGCCTCCCTAAACTCAGCCGACACTGTGTGTGCGAAAGCTTGAGGACACAAAGTGTTAGGAGTCACAGGTCGGTTCACATCCAGGCTGTCGCCTGTTTCTGCAACGGCCGTGTCACTCAATTCGAACACTTCTTCCCTCCATGTCTTGACAGCCAAGCGTTTGCTCCGATCGTTTGTGTGCCAGCTTGGGTTTGGAGTTCCAGGCGGCAAGCATGTAGGAAGGCTAGTGTAACACGAGTACTGAAACCTTCTTGGCACCCGGTCGGTGCATACATGAAGCCACAACACAGCTGACAGATGCACGGGTAGCGAAGTTAGTTCAACGGATGCTGTAAGTCGGCGCCCCTGGCGGAGTGTATGCCTCGTAAACACAAGTTCGCGAGACCGATTGAACTCGGCGATTAGAGCTCACATCTCACAGCAAGCGCCGTGCGGGCCGGGAGATAAATGAATCCATCCATGGCTCACATCACGTCCCAGTCCATTTGCGAAGAATTGAATTCGAGACACACGTTTGTCAATTTTCCAATCATGTTTCAGGACATATCGTAGATTTTGTGCAGGCTACGACCATGACCTCACGCCGGTTCCCCGATCCAATGATGCCAAGTGCTTAAGTGTATCCCAGTAGTATGAAGATTCGAACTATGGTCTCTCAGGCTATCACTGCTTCCAGATTATCAAAAACCTCTTTTGTCCCATGGATCTCTGTCCACGCGCATGGGAATTTATTGTGTATGGCTCCATGGTTTTATCCTTCCTTCTGGCATAAAGTACCGACTCCTTCGCAGCTTTATTCGCAGCAATGCTCGCAGCTCCTGGGACACCTCTACGGACACTCATAGTCTCTGGAGAATAAGGCGATGTATCTGAGCTTGCATGCATACAGGCATGTCAGTGCTCCCAACAGAGCGAGCGACGACCGGAATCTTGCCTTTTCGACCCGAACGGTTCTGAAAGCCTCCGAATTACAGTCATGTGCAGAATGCTCTTTCTCCATCCCTACGGCATCCCAAATTCGAGCAACTCATTCTTCCTCCACTCTTCTGTGGATGGATAAATAACATTCAGCTCTACCGCCAAGTATAAGCATATTATCAAGATAACACACGATGGCGATGTCCCCTAAATAGATTCTGAACGTAGGGAGCCTTCGCATCAGATCATCCCAAAGTAGTTCTGTTCTGAGAGTAGGCAGTACTGACGGGCAACAGACTGATGTCTGAGCCCTGCGCGTGCGCAAAAAAGTTTTCAGGAGCCTGCTCCGGGTCCCCCCATCGGCAGTGATCAATCTTGTCAAGACGTTTTAAGTGTTTCCAAGTCCAACAACCGCTCCAGGGCCGTCTTCTGCCGGTGGCACTCCAGGCACAGGGCATCAATGTTGTGATATGATATGATGTGTTTGTTCCTTGCGGCTCCGCCAGGTCTAGTAGACTTCCGTTTAGAAAGCTTAAATGTGCTTTTGAGACGACAACTACCAACCGATGTTTGATCAAGGTTGTGAATATGCCAAGACATGCACGGGAGTTCACAGCACCAGTCTTGGCGATCCACACAATCATTCTCGCATTGATGCCATGTGATTTCTAAGCTCCACACGCCTCAGCTTCGACAGTTGCCGCCTTTGCAAGCTGGGTTCCCCTCTTCCCGTAATCTCGACAACATGTGGTTCACCAGAGGCGAGCAATGAGCGGACTTTTGCGGCAACGCAGGTCCTTCACTCATGCGCTGCAAACAAAAAACGAGCGCATCTGGCTTTTCCACGTACACCCGGAGTTTCTTACAAGGCCGGGATCCGCGCAACAAGCTTGAGCATTCGGCGGTCTATCCGAGCTCCGCTACGGCTTCACCGCCTTCTCCCCAGAAGTAATACACCTGGTCCAAATCTCAGGATACTGTGGACTGGGACTCAATCGCAGAAGGCTCCTTGCACGGCAAGTGGCCTCATCGTTGTCCCGTATGCCCGCATCCTGAAGAGTCTGACGTCCTGCACGAGTGTGCCAGGGCATGCTATGGCATACTGCCATTCAGCAGTCGTTTCTTCCTGGAAGTGGCTGGCCATTGTGGAGAAGCACAATTCCACCTTGATGCTCCTCATCTCGGAGCATGTTCAGCCTTGCAAGTAGCATCGACCCATCACCATGGAACGAGCTCGGAAAAAAAAAAAAAAAAACATA